TAGATCACTTAGGGTAAAATTTTCAAAACCATCTAACCCTTAAACATATTTATTCATTACTGAAACTGAATAAATATTAATGGCTCTAGAACTTTCCATTTAAACGTTTCGTTAATTAGAAGTGACTTGGAGAGATGTGTTTTTAAGTTGTTTACAGTTGCGTGGATGTGTAGGTGAGAATGGTTTCTAAATTAATAATATATTGGGATGCCAGCTAGATTGTAAAATGAAATCTGCAAACTAGATTGGTTTAATAGTTTTTGGTTTTAACACTAATTTGCTTAATGTAGTATTATTATTTGATTTTTATAAAGAATTCATTTTGGCTGACTTCAAGAAGAACTGCTCACTATTTTAACACTGGGTTTGTGTAAGAAGTTACTTGTATTTCAGAAATAGGACTTTTTTGGTTTTTAATCATTTAATTCTGTCCTTTCATTACAGACAATGGTATTTCTAACCCACCGTTAAAAGAGAATCTTTATATCCGATAGCGTAAATGCTAAGGTTAGAGCTGATCAGATTTGTGTGTGTGTGGAAACTTTTGACTTTCCCTCCAAACACCAGGAAGTCTTTGGTTTTTCAACAAAATGCTGCATTTTGTGAAATGTGAAAGGTGAAAATGTTCATTGTGCCAAAAACATAATTTTCTGTCTAAAAGCAGTTTTAATGGGAAAATGTCAACCGGGCCTAAACAAGTTATACAGCTGGGGGAGAAAAGGACGAACCGATCAGGTTTTTTCTTTGATTTTTCCAAATTGTTGTGTGGCAATAATAAAAGCAATGAAAACATATCGGTTTGATGTTGTATGCAGTGGTGGTGTAGCTTTGTTGGTCCCAGGATGTTAGAGAGACAAGGTTGGGGAGGTAATAGCTTTTCCAGGACCAACCTCTGTTGGTGAGAGAGATGAGCACTCTTCTGCGGGTAACCTGTAGAACAGAAGTTGGTCCAATAAAAGATATTCCCTCACCCACTGTGTCTCACTAATCACTCAGCTGAGCGTTGATAGAATTTCTCACATGAATATTAAACTGAAAGCCCAGCTGACTGGCTGGGAAACAGGCCACTTTCAACTCCCATGTGGCTTCCCATATGTGCTCCCAAAAGAACTTGGGTTCAGAAACATATAGACGTTCCCACGCACATTTCATAAAATAGAAGGAAGAGACTGTTGTTCTCAGTCCTATGCAAGACCTTCTAGTGCAAAATCAAATCAAATCATTTGTTTAAACAGGATTTCTTCTTTCTGCTCTTTGCCAGGTTTATCAGGGCTCACAGGAGGATATGGGTCAATGTTTGATTATCATTATTCTTATTATTTTATTACAGTAGCACCAAGCGCCTCAGTCTGAGATCAGGCTCTGGCTGACCCAAATCTTATTAATTTAACAATTTAATGATCCAATTAATTAACTAAAGTGAACAAAAACTCACCAATAACCTCATTGATTCCAGGTTGTCCTGTGGCAGGTTTGAAGGGAGGGTACTGCTCGCTTGCTTGTTTTAGAGGTTCCTGGATTTCTACTGGTGTTCACAGTTCAAGAAGGGGGTTGATAAATTGGAGAGGGTCCAAAGAAGACCCACGAGAATGATTCAAGGATTAGAAAACCTGCCTTACAATGATAAACACAAAGAACTCAATCTATTTAGCTTCACAAAGAGATGGTTCAGGGGTGGCTTGATCACAGTCTATAAGCACCTACAGGGGGAACAAATATTTTGATGATGGGCTCTTCAATATAGCAGAAAAATGTATAACAATATTCAATGCCTGGACGTTGGCACTAGACACATTCAGACTGGAAATAAGGTGGACATGTTTAACAGTGAGAGTAATTAACCATTGGAACAACTGACCAAGGATCGTGGTGGATTCTCCATCATGGGCAATTTTGAAATTGAGATTGGATGCTCTAGTTCAAACTGGAATTATTTGGAGGAAGTTCTGTGGCTTGTGTTGGGCAGGAAGGCAGACTGAATAATGACAATGGTCCTGTCTGGCTGTGGAATGCGTTAATCGATGAATAATCTGCTGTGGTTTTACTAGGGTCCTTTTGATGCCTTTGTAACTTGCTGGAGCAAGTCCAGGATTGGTTGCTCTGCACTTTGCTGCTTGATGTCCAGAGAGGAGGAGAGCAAGAATTCAATTGTTTAAGTTTTGCAGCAGGGCATACAGCAGGTTCCAGAGTTAGTGTCTTCAACCTCTTTCTTCCAGGGTGTTTTATTTATACAGGAAAGTGAACAAATCAAAGAGAGAGAGAGACCATGTGGCCATTTGGCTTTTATGCCTAAATCCCAGGGGTTTAGGTGATCCATATTTCACCGGCTACAAGCTATACATCTGGTGATCATGTACCAGCCTCAGTCTGGATTTCGGAGTTGCATTCCTGTAGTATCCAGTAGATGGTGCAGATATGTTGCAAATAGTTTGTGGACTCAAATTCTGTCGGAGGGAGAATGGCTGAAAGAGCTTTAAGACTCCCTTTTTAATGGTCCCCAAATCTAATAATTTTTAATTAATAATAATTTATTTTAAATAATCTCTTACTCTGAAGAGAACTTTTAAAACAAATTGTGTGTGTGTTTCCACCTTTGCAATATTTGACCTTTTAAATACAGCTTAGACTCTCAAGAGTGTATAGGGTGACCAGATGTCCTGATTTTATAGGGACAGTCCTGATTTTGGGGGCTTTTTCTTATATAGCCACCTATTACCCCCTCACCCTCATCCCAATTTTTTTACACTTGCCCTCTGGTCACCTTAAGAGTGTAACAGTCCTTTTAGGAAACCATTCCTGCCATGAGAACGCATGGCCTTTTTAAATAGGCACATCTCTCAGACGTAACCAGGCAAAATACTGTGTTAAGATAGAGTTAAGGTTGGGAGACATATCAGTAGCATGAGGGTAAATAACATTACAGGGATGTTGCAGTTATTCCACGAACAGGCATTACAAACCCAGGAAGTTAGAGTTCGGGTTAAAATTAACAGAAATCTGACGATGTTAAGGTACCTTAGCAACCTTAACTCTGCCCCATAGTGAAGCCATCCAATAAGCAGACAGTTAGGACTCATGCATTTTGAGTTTGTGGTCCCGGATTAGATTACATTGATTTTTAACCATGCATTTTTTTTAAAATCTTTTGCTCATGGCCTCAGTAAAGAGCCGGGAGATGGGGGGAGTTGTGTTTGAAGAGGACAAATGGATGAGTAGAAATATTATGGTTGAGGGGGAGAAAGTGGAGATTTAGGAGGGCAAGGGGAAACAGCATGTGCATGGGTCTGGGGTGGGGGGAAAGGGTGTGTTTGGAGAAGGGGGCTGTGTTAGGGAGACTGTGAAGTGAGTGGGGAGGAAGTCCCAATGTCCCCATGGCTTAATGGCTACCCCTGCACTCCTGCCTCAGTTTCCCTGATGGTGCCGCCTAGGTGGGCAGTGCCTCCAAGGCAGTAGTGCCATGGGGGAGGCATGCAAGCAGTGATACCTGAGCTAGCATGTGGCCACAGAGGAAGGACAGCTGGGCCACGTCCTCTATCAATGAGAATTCTTGACACAAGTCCAGCTTCACTCACCTGTCCGACTTGTTGCAGCCAACAGAATTGTAGCATGCATATCAGCTATAGAGGAAGGGTGCTTGGTTACCTCTGATATGACAATGGCCACATGTTAGTGTCCTTGCCTGCCAGCTGGGAGGAGTATGTCTTCTGCCAGATTCTCTGTACTTTGGGCTGGGAGCCAGTTAGCATTCAGGATCAGCAGAGGGGGGCTCTGTAGATCCCCAGAGTCTAAACAACAGCTCAGTGAAAGCTGAACATCAGGAGAAACAAACATCCCACACTGGTCTGGGGTTTGTTAGCGTTCAGCTGCTGCTCCGCAGCAACAAGTCTGGGAAAGTTGGCCAACGGCTAAGGAGGTAGCACAAAAACTGGGAGGTTCTTCAGGAGCACGGCCCTGCCCATCCTGCCTTGACAGGTGGGTCTGGTTCTGCCTCCAGCAGGCTGCAAAGAGAACCCATTGTAAGGGGTCTGGGAACCTTACCTGCAAAGAAGAAAAGGGCCTTGAAGAAAGGGGTGGAAACAGCTCCCTGAGAATACCTGTTGTGCAGGGGGCCTCCCTGGATGGGGTAGCCTGGATGGGGCACCCAGCATGATGTAGGCAAAAAGTCAAAACCATTTGAGGATTCGCTATGACGTGCAGCAGTTTTTCAGGCCGATTCTGGCAGGAAGGGGCACTTCTTTAATAAGAAATGGGGGGAGGAGAGGGGGAGGGGAGAGAGATAAATGTCAGGTCTAGAGATGGGAAGCCCATGAAGATCTACATAGACGAAACTGCCTCCTCCTAGCTAAATTTAAAATCCCAGAATAAAACTTTTACCCCTAGATCTTCTTAGTGCTTTTCATCTGTAGATCTCAAAGCACTTTCCCAAAGAAGTTGGCATCATTCTCCCCAATTTACAGCCCGTGAATTGTCCATGACTTTTACTAAATATAACTGTGACTAAATCTTGGGGTGGCTGCTGCTTCAGGAGGAGGGGCGCACCGGGGGGGGGCTGGGGCCAGGGGCACCAGCTGCTGGGATCCGCTGGAGCAGTGACTGCTCCAGCCACCCTGGGGACTGCTGCTGTGCGGGGCGCGCCCTGGGGGGGCTGTTGCTGTGTGTTTGGGGGGGGGTGCCCTGGGAGGCCGCTGCTGGGGGGGGGAGCAGGGCCAGTGGCACCAGCTGCTTGGGAATCCGTGACTTCTGCGACCTCCATGACAGACACAGAGCCCTAAGAATAAGTTAAAAACAGATACCCTTCATGAGCAATTTCATACAGAATGCTAAAAAAGCAAGGTATTAGGGAGATTTTTGTCACTGAATGCAAGGTAAATGAATTCTAGAGGATCCTATTAAAACCCAGTTCTCATCAGATTGGGGTGTAACAATGGTCTGCTGGTAAGATTGATAAATGGTCGGGGTATCATTTGTATCCTCATTTTCCCCAATCCTTTATTTTCCAGTTGAACATGACAGAGACATCTTCTACCAGAAGCCTTACTGGAAGGAATTTCGATTTGACCTGACCCAGATTCCAACTGGAGAATCTGTAACAGCTGCCGAGTTCCGAATGTATAAGCTGCGAAGTTTCACTCGTGATGTCAACAAAACTCTTCACATCAGCATCTACGAGATCATGAAGGAGTATTCCAACAGGTGCAGTGAAAGCGACCGGTGCCTTTGAGCTGGAAACAGAAAAAATGTTTTTTCTTATATAGAGCTAGACACAAATCTGGGTTCTTATTAGCCGAAACTGTAGATCTTCTTTTTCGCTTCACAATGTTCAGTTATGTGCAAGCCGGAGTACATGAGAATTTCTGATTCTGTTTTTTCATCTGTGGGGAAATCATTCCCATGTATTTCAATAGGTGGCAGTAATTTAATAGGTAGCGGTATACCTGTCCCATATGGACCAATCTTGGACATTGGGGAGAATCCGAAGAAGTGGGCCCACGAAAGCTTATGCTCAAATAAATTTGTTAGTCTCTAAGGTGCCACAAGTACTCCTGTTCTTTTTGCGGATACAGACGAACACGGCTGCTACTCTGAAACTTGTCATTGGGGAGAATAATTATTAGTACTGCAGGAGCAGCTAGAAGTCGTAGCCACAGCTCAGAACCCGTGTGTCCTCGGCGCTGCACAGACACACAACAAAAAGACAGACCCTGCCCCGAAGAGCAGACAATTTAAGCAGGTCGTGTTACCTACGTTCAGTTGATTTTGCTTATCTATTTTTTCCGTTTCTGTAGGGAATCTGACTTGTTCCTATTAGATCTTCAGGAGCTCCAGGCCGGAGCTGAAGGCTGGTTGGTTTTTGATGTCACAGCTGCCAGCAACCACTGGTTAGTAAACCGTAAACACAACCTGGGCCTGCGACTTTATGTGGAGACCGATGACGGTAAGGCTAACTCAAGCACTGGAAGGATTTAAAATTCCTGCTGCTTTTAAAAATCTAGCTAGATCTGGGTGTGATGCCCCTGCGTGTAAGGAGAATATCCAATCTAGAGCTCGCATCAATGCCTTTTTAAGGCATTGATGTTAATGCACTTCCTAGTGTAGGGTATTCTAATAGGATAAGTTTAATGTAATCCTTGCCTGAAGGGATACTCACGTGTGTTTCGCTGGATTAACCTTTCCTAATTTCACCCATGGATGAAATCCATTCCAAGTGCTACCTCAAAAGGTGTACTTCAGAGATCGTCCTTCAGGCTAGGAAAATGTAATTGCTCTTGTTGGTCCCCGCTCTCCACAATATTTCCCTTTCAATAAGCATGCTGCTAAGATCAGGCTATTTTGGTTTGTGGTGGTGCACAAAACCTTGAGTAAATGTGTCCTCTCTGTCTGGAAACTGCCCAGGGTGGGTGGGTGGATAAATCAACACTAGTTCTAAACAGCAAGGGCCAGAACCACAGCTGGTGTAAACTGGTGACTTCAGTGGAACTATGCCAGTTTACGCCAGTTGAGGATCTGGCCCCTGGTTGGTTGGTTTTTTTTCAGCCAGCCTGAAACAATTTGCATCACAGGATTTTTCTCTCTTCTAACTGCCCGCGCTAGCAGCACTATGGATGTCAGACATCAGGCCCAGATCCTCAGAGAGATTCAGCATTCAAATCAATAGGAGCTAGGTGCCCTTGAGGATCTGGGTCTAGGGATTCAACCAGCTGAGAGACTGCAGCGACTGCTCGTACTGTGAGGTCCTTTTCCTGCGACGAGTTGGTTTGGAGCTGCGCTGTTCTGAGGATGGCCTGACAGTAAAGATTGATCACCGCAATGCTGAACTGTGTAAATTACCTTTCCCCTTTGCAGATGGCCCTTCTGCTCAGCCTGTGTCTTCCTGGGTTATTTTATATGCATAGCTCTTAGTTTAAGGAAAGTCTTTGCCTGCCAACCAAGAACATGGCCTCTTAAAACATAGAGGATTCCCTTTGTGCCGCCAGTTGCCGTCGGAGACTGTGATCACATTGCCAGTCACTCATGGGCTGGTCCATTAAGTTGGTTAGCGGTAGAGGTATAGCGGTAACGGCGCTAGCTGAATTGCTCTCAGTACCTGATTTTATTTTCATTGCATTGACAGAAGCCCAGATGAGTCCTCCTGAATGAGGGCTCGGATAGGTTCCCCATCCTGTGAGGTTGGTGACCAATGATTGGGCCAATTTGGATTTAATGTGCAATGGAAAAACCTCGAAAATCCTCTTTCCAACTGATCAGAAGTTTAGGGAGGAAAATGCTTCCCCCCAGGTCTTCCTCAGACTGCTGATGCTTTGGCAGGTCGTCTCATTCAGCAAAGCACCTGCTTCAATTCCATCACGTTGCAATGAAGTCAATAACCCTTTGGAAACCTCTCTTGTGCCATCTTGTCCAAAGCTGGATCCCGACACATGAGACCATCCTCCTTTGCAGAGGGTCTCGTGTCCTGGGGTGAGATTTTTTTCAGAAGTGCCTAAGTGAGTTAGGAGCCCAACTCCCATTTTTTCAAAAGTGACTTAGGAGCCACTGAGACTTCGCCTCTGACCTATGTTCGTGTTTGGAAGCCAGCACCTGTTCTGCTCCCAGGCTCTATGAATGCAAAGTGGGAGGGAGTCCTAGCCCTGAATGTAGCGCTGCCATTTTGCTTCACTTGCCCTATGGAGAGCATCCAAAACTGTAATGGTGAAATTCTGGACCAGGGAAACTTTGAGGAGCTCGGAGGAGAGTGTTATCTTCCTTAGAAAAGACTGAAAAACTTGAAATAATTCGAGGAACTTGCAGCTGTTTGGATTTCCTTTGGATCGCTCATTTCCTTGTCTTTTCTACCCCGTTTCACCCTCCCCACAATTATTACTTCTCTCTTTTGATCCTGGATTTGAATTATTACTCTCGTTTGTCTGGTCTTCCGAGCAGAGCGATTTAGCTCACAAAGCGTGTCCTCTGATTGGACAATGACGGGTAAAGTCTCTTTAATGTGTTGTATGGAGGCAGGTCGCACTTCCAGTCTATGGTAGAGCCAGAGCTATCGTTGCTCTGGCAGCCCTGCGTACTCTTGTCTCTTGATGCCGAAATCTGGATTCTGAACACACAGAGGGGAGGGAGGAAAGGTGGCTGAGTGGAAGTAATAGAATGCAGTGACTGGTGAAGGTGATAGGAGATGTTACACTAGAAAAATCCTGGGACTTTATTGGGGTTTGTTTTTATAGATTTTTTTTTTTAATTTAAATGTTCATCTGCCTTATTTTTCTCCCCCTTTGACTAAAGAGCTTAGTTTTACAGCCTAACTTGCATATGTGGTGGAACAAACTTGTGTTTTCGGCCCATCGTAGGGCAGAGCATCGATCCGGGCTCAGCAGGACTGCTGGGTCGGCGCGGGCCACGCTCCAAGCAACCTTTCATGGTCACTTTTTTCCGGGCAAGCCAAAATCCGGTCCGAGTTACTCGAGCCGTCAAGCAGCTAAAGAAGAGGCAGCCCAAGAAAACGAACGACTTACCGCATCCAAACAAGCTTCCAGGGATTTTTGGTAAGAGCTTTGGGTTAGAGACCCAGCTAGCTAGAGGTAGCACAAAGGCTGTATTTACAGTCAAGAAAATGATCTTTATCTAAAATACCATTTTCCTCTGCTGCGCTAACCATGGTATATTTTGTTAGCCCCTCCCTCCTTCAGGAATTTCTCTTCTGCTTGAAACACATGGCTCTGATGTGTCCTCAAGTGAGTTCCAGATGAACGAGGTTTTGAGAGAGCTTTTTTTTTTTTTTAGAATAGGAACCGTTAAGTGGATTACGAAGCCAAACAACAGAGAAATTGTACTGTCCGCAATGGCTTCCTGAAGGAAAGGACTTTATTAGACTTTCTAGGTAGTGGTATATCTGAATACTGAATCCTTTAAGTATGCTATTAATATTAGCATCAGCTTCAAAACCATCCTTAGAGCGGAGGAGAGCCTGAAAGGCATCCCAATGAACCTGAGATGTTTTTGATGCGTGGCCAAGCATCAGTAGGGATGATGGTTAGGAACATGAAGATATGCTTCTTTCAAAGTCTCTCTGGGATTAGGGAGTCATTTGGGGCCCATTCCTGAATGATTAAGGTTAGATTTTTTCCATGCTGAATCGCTGTTTCTTGATCTAAGAGTGATACATCTAGAACCAATCGGAAGCCTTCACTTCTTTTGGTGACCCAAAGAGTCTGGGATAATGTTTTCTGGCCCCATTCTTCAAGGGAGCCAATGTTCCTAGGGGTTGTAGCTTCTCCAGGCTTTCTGGGCAAGCATGTAGGTTTGAAAAATGCAGAAATGTAGGGTGGAGATGTGAGTCGGGGAGGGGGGCAATCTAGGAACTCAGCTAGGTAGTGAGCTCAGATTATGTCAAGAGACCCCCCACGCACGCACCACCGTCTGTGAGAAGTGGAACGAGTCTAAAAACTGAAGAAACTCTTAAACCTTCTCGCTAAGCAGAGGGGCTTCGAGGCCCGTGGGACTTCATTGTCAAGCGTAGCTAGAGTTGCCAAAAGACGTTCCGAGATCCCAGGGGATTTTGAAGCTTGAAGGTTCCACGCTGCTGGCTGTTTCCACGGAGCTGGCGAATCCAGCAAGCTGGCCAGGCGCTCCTGGAATCAGAACCAGTGTCCCAATGAGGAGCACCTGGCTGCAGCAGGAATCCGAGGAATCCGTCAGTGCTTTCTCTAGCAATCCTCCAGCTGAATTATTAAATCCAGATTGAGAGGAATCTGGGTCAGGGTGAGCCTGGACGTAGCATCAGTATCTAAGATTTTGAATCCGAGGTCCCAATGGGTCAGGGTGTTGCAGAAACAGCTCCTGTCACCTGCTATGTCAAAGACAAAGGATATGACTAATCTGAGGGGTTTTAACTGTTACTCTGTTGTTCTTTTGGAACAGTCTTCCTTATACTGGTGCTAGCAAATACCGGTGAGATGTTTATGTTTGCTATTTTGAGTGACAGGTATTTTCTCATCTTTCCCCTCCCCCCCCCTCTTTTTTTCTAGATGACATTCATGTCTCTGAAGGCAGACAGGTTTGCAGGAGGCATGAACTGTATGTCAGCTTTCAAGACCTCGGATGGCTGGTAATTCCACCGCGCGCCCCTTGTTTCTTTAGCAGTAAATTCATACCCAGGAAAATTAAATGGGAAAAATGGGAATGTAGCCCACCCTTGGGGCGCACCTCCACTCCTTCACGAACACAAGCCAGTTTAGAGTATGTGAACTCTGCCTCACTTTGATCTTACCTGGGAGATTTCACAGGAACTTGCTTTAACAACATCATTGGCGTTACTAAGAAAAACACGAACTGATACAACCTGAAATCCATCAATGACCCTGAATGAGGAACTCGCCAGTCAATATAAAAATCAAAATAAACCCTAACTGTTGACATTTCCCCTCGCCCCACTATGAGTAGCCTGATTGTTCCTGCGTATGTCGGAGAACTGAATGAATGAGTGTAGTCCTGCTGCTTAACTATTGAAAAATCTTTCTCTTTGCAGGATTGGGTGATTGCACCACAAGGATATTCTGCTTTTTACTGCGAAGGAGAATGTGCCTTTCCTCTGGATTCCTGCATGAATGCAACCAATCACGCCATCCTGCAGTCACTAGTCAGTAGTTTATTAATGTGTATGTGCATTAATAGCTTGTGTATTGCAGGGGCCCAGGGACTGCACAGGATCATTAACATTTGGAGTAGCTGTCAGAAACTTGGTGTATAAATCAGGTCACAGTGGAGGGATAAAAGTGCAGTCCAAGGGCTGGTCTGATAGACACAGAAGAATCTTTTCATGACCCGCAAGTGAGATGTTATATTTGATTGTTTGTTTGAAATAGACAGTCCCCACAATTCAGATCTGGTTCTGGGCCTTCTACAAGTTGGAGGGCATTTGGATTCAGAAGTCTAGTTCAGCTCCTTCTAAAAAAAAATCTGTGTTATTAACGGGGTTGGAGTGACGCAGTGATTTTAATCTGTTCGGGATTTGCCTACATGGGCAGATCAAGGAATCAACAGGAAATAATGGAATTGGCCAGCTTTGTTTCACACGGCATGCTTTGCAGACTCGCAACGGCTATCACGTTGCAAAATGCTTTCTGGTACAATTCCATTTTTCACTCGATTTTTCAGACAAATCATCTCTCGGGGTTAAAAGTTTCCAACTGTGGTGAAAATGACTATTGCCTATTCTGACTAATTCCTCCCCAACCTCACAGTTAACTAGAACACGGTTAATATTTGAAAACCTGGAACGAGTTTTCAGGAAGGTGTGTTGCCTTTGCCAGACTGAAAACAGTTTGATTTGCAGTCTCTGCCTTTAGGATACCTTGAAAATGCTGCTTGATGCATATGCCCAATAAGAGAGAACCCTCTTGCCCATGTGCACATATGAGAGTACACATCTTTCCCAAGATTAGGAGATACCATGGGCACTTAACAAAAAAAAGTTGAGACATTTAATGCACCATTATAGTTCTGAAACCAAAGCACTCTCTAGGCAGGAAATTCCCAGCAGAAAGGTTTTCTAATGCAACATTTTCCCAAGCACACTACACATGGCAGGACATGCTTTAACTTCTGGGATTTCCTGGCTAGTGAGTGATTGATTTCTCAATCTTAGAGCCGCATTGACTTTCATTTTATCATGTAATTCCATGGGGTGTAGAGAGATTGCTCTGCTACATTCATCTGAGAGTGCAGTTTTGTGATACAAAATATTATTGTTTGTTAATATTCATACAGGGGAGCATCCAGAAGCCCCACTCAGGCTCAGGCCACAGTACAAAGCCACAGGGAAATCTTTGCCTCCGTGAAGTCCATGGTAGTTTTGCTAGTGTTTTCAGTGGGGTCACGGTTTCACCTGTGTTCTCTAATACCAAACCATTTATGACTGATCCTCATGTTCTGGATGTCCTTACACTTTGCCTTTAAACTTAAATCTTCCCAAATCACCACAATTCCAGAAACATAATATGTATAGCAAACCCCTGAAAGTGTGTGAAATGTATCAGCTGGGAAGGGCAAAATGAACCAGAAGTACAAAAGATCAAAGCCAAGATTCTCAAAAGTATTTAGGTTCCTAACTCCCATTGATTTCAGTGGGAGTTGGGCACCTAAACACCTTTGAGAATCTGGGCCCCAGTGCCAGCCAGTTTTCTGCCTTGAAGTAGTGCAGCGTGACAGCAAAGCGCCAGCTTCTGTAAAGGGAGATTCTGAATTGGCCTGAAATAAATGAATTGCATGTATTTGGCAGGTCCGTAGCGAGGGAGGGGTGCATGTGTGTGGGTAATGACTTACAAGCTACTAGCCTTACATTAGATGGGGAGTTACTGGAAGAATTCCTTGTCACCCGGAGAATGAGTCAAGGCAGTGTCATTTTCAGAAGGGAGACAAGGTTGTGTACTTAGTACTTTTTGCACAACATTAATTTTCAGTTTGGACACCGAAGACCCAGGGCGGGGCTACCTTCCACTTGCTCCTAGAAGTTGATCTAAACAAAATATTTTATTCCCGGGTAACAAAAACACAAAGTTTTAAAGCCGCATTCTCTTACCTGCGTATTTTCTAACTGAGGTTAGTATATTTCGTGACAAGGGCGCTGCACAGAAATCTCAGTTTAACTGATGAGTTGCCCTGCAGGAGTGGAGCCATGAGAATGAGTCCAATATAAACTGCAGCGAGAGCTGCCAAAAGTTTAGAATAAATATTTGGACGAAAGCTGAAAATAATCTACCCATTCAATCAGAGCCTTTTTACAGGTAAGAGCTGCTCTCTTTGAAGCTTTTTCTTTTCACTAAATCGAAAAACCACATGTTTACCTTGAGATAGCTCGTTACTCCCTGCTACAAGTTCCTTATCCTGCCTGGAACCTGCAAGGAGCAGCCACTCGTCACAAATGAAAATTCTCACACTAGCTTGTTTGCCTCCACAGGTCCATCTGATGAAGCCTGAGGCTGTTCCCAAGGCCTGTTGTGCTCCCACCAAGCTCAGCGCAACCTCTGTCCTCTATTATGACAGCAACAACAACGTGATCCTCAAAAAACACCGCAACATGGTGGTGAAATCATGCGGCTGCCACTGAAGCCCCTGAGGAAATGCGATCGCTGGTTTCTTGGCGAGGAAAAAGAACTATTTTAACAGGTCTGAATCCCATCTATGGTGCCGAAGTCCATAAGAGTCAAACACCTAGTTGTAGTTAAGACAAAACTTTTATTCTCCTACTATACTTCATGAGACTAGAGACAGCAAATCGGGGGCTGCTTAAGTCGCGTTGTGTTTCTGGCTATTGGGTTTTGTTATAGAACTGTGGCTAGCTGGCTCCTGGATTATTCATTATTACTGGATAACGTTTATACTGCACAAGTGACTAGGCCAAGGAAGGCAGGACTCGAGTTGCTTCTAAATCTATCAGTAGCTACTTACTTAAGTCCAAGTATTATGGTTTTAACAAGCACTTACAGCTCTCTAAATGAAAACACGGTCAGCCAATTAAATAGCTGGCTAACGAACCCTCCCCTCCCATTTAAAGTTCGAAAATTCATCCAATTGGAAAAAAATGTCGAGGTAGGCCACGGTTATAAAATCAACCCCAAGTTTGGAAAGTAAACACTTAATGGTTGTATTTAGTAAATGTCACGACCCAGCAGCATGGACACTATTTCTCAGCGAAAGCCCCAGGGGTCTGCTAAAATTGTACCTTTGCTTTATGGGGGGTGGGGGTGGGGAATCCATTATTGTGTGACATCTTCAGGTCATTTTGTTTTCTATGGGCTAATTCATTTGAAGTGACGCAGAAACGAGGGTGTCGGGGCGAAAGACGTAAGGAAAGGATCCCTTTAATGTTGCCTTATCCTATGGAGACCGCGTTCTAGTACTTAGGTCTGCTGCTGTGCCTTAGTTTCCCCATTTGTAAAAATGGGGATAATGATGCTCCCTTTTTTTTGGTAAAGCGCTTTGAGATCTACAGGTGAAAAGTGCTATATAGGAATTAGGGAATATCATTCCCCTTCCTGCATAGGAACAGCTATACCTGCATCCGCACTAGGGGGCATTGTACTGCTTAAACCAATGGTGTGCAAACTGGGGGAGGCACAAGAGGTTCTCTGGGGAGGGCCAAGAAACTGGGGTCCCACAGGTCCCACTGCCATAATAGCAGGAACAGGATAAAAATAGATTGGGGCAGGTGCAGGATTTAAAAAAAAAACAGTCCTCCTGCTCTGCAAACCACGTGAACGCCCCAGCCAGAAGTCACTGCTCTCTGGCCACCCAGCTCTGAAGGCAGTACCGCCGTCAGCAGCAGCACAGAAGTAAGGGTGGCAATGGAGCACGGGGCGTGACAAATTCTGTGCCTTCACTGCTATTGTTACCTGTGCTAGGCTGATTAAAGCTCCCCTGAGTATGCCTAGCTGTGCTATAATCCCACCTTTACTGGCCAGCCTCTTAGAAGGGACTGACTCCCGCCCCAGGAATTGCATACTGAGCTAAAATGTTCCCCCTAGAAATCGGTTTCCCCTGTACCTGGGAAAGCAGAGGTGTGGAGCAGGAAAAGCATTCTTTGCTCGCCAGCTCTCCTTTTTATGCGAATTGAATGTGCCAATCTTATTTCAGAGCCTTGGCGGGGGAGGGCAGTAATATCATTTATTGGCCCCCGGTCTGTGGGTGACAGAGACAAGCTTTCAAGCTACACAGAGCTCTTCCTCGGGTCTGGAAACGGTACTGAGCGTGTCACAGCTCCCTCCAAGCTCGAATTGCTAGTTTAGCAGACGTAGTTCGCTTGCCGCAGCACACACCCTAGAGATGGTGTCTTTTATTCACCTTCCTCAGCAGTTCAGAGAAGAATTCTTCAGTGTATCTGTCAAAGGGCCTAACAAATGCTGAGCACCCACAATCCTCCCGACGTCTGACTGTGTTGCCAATTGTCCTGCTTTTTATTGCAAGTCTCACGCTAGCTGCGATGTTCCTTAAAGCGCCAGCTCCCAGAATCATGGGAGGATCTCAACTTTTGTTCAAAAGTGCCTAGAGTTAGGGGCCGGGCTTGTCCAGGTGCCCCACTGCAGCATCAATCTTTGCACAGCCAGGGGGATGCCTTTATGAAGTGCGTTCAGCATTAGCCACTCCAGTCAAAGTGTTGATGCTTATGTGGCTATTATGTCAATAATAATTTTTATAATCTAAATGTTTGCTACCTGAACACTCAGTGGTTTCTGCATTTTTTTTCTCCTTGAACTTGCTATTTCTTTCTTAACTCTGCCAGAGCTGAAGGGATAGCTTATTACGTTTACCCATGGCAGAGAATGGCGATCCCATTAAACTACAGAGGAGTGGGTTGACGTTTCCATTAAGATGTTCTGGTGATGGTTTTATATTTTACATGAGGTGCAGTGGATAGGTGTGGAACGGACAGGGACTTAGTGCCCTCTGCTGGTGGAACTTGGACACTACAGAGTCCTGGAGGGTCAAATGACACAAAAAATAAGCAGACTGGTTTGGGGTGGATTTAAAAAACAAAAACAAAAACCCACACCAAACCAATTCTCAGCTTCCCCCATCTCATGGCGGAACCGACCCAAGCCCTTTCTTGGGGAAGGGGATTGTCAGTGCTGCTGCTCTGCCTCTAGGGCCTCAAACCCCTGCTTGTTCTGCTACGAGGGGTCAATGGACTCAAGGCTCCACACCCGGGCAGAGGATGGTTTGAGGTACCTGGGGGTGACGCAACAGACTAGGTGCTTGTTGCATCCGTATTCCCTCCGGCTGCCCCAGCTTTCCCCTCAGAACCAGAACTGGACGTTACTGCTAATTCAAGCAGTAGTAACTGCTGCTGGGATTGTCCATGGATGGTTCCATGCAGCCCCAATGTGACTTGGCCCACAGGCGCCTAGTGCCTGAGGCGGGGGTGAGCCAGCAGCCTGCTCCGTGGCCCTGTGGCTTCCCTCTGTGAGCCAACAGCTGCTCTAACTCACCTCTCACCAGGCCATCTGCTGAACTCTGAAAGATGCTGAATTCTCTGGACCTCTTCTAATGCTCCTGCTTGTACAGCCACAGGGCTGCATGATTTAACCCGAAGAACAGCAGCACCCCTCTCCCTGTGCAGGAAAACACCCTTGCTACAGGGTCCTGCCATAAACATTATAAGTAAATTGTAACCAACAATCCTGTTTCAGGGCTTGAGCACAGTAGTAGAGAGGAGGTTGAGCCCTCAGTGGGGGGACAAATTATTCTCCTGTCTACTCGCCTATAATCCTAAAATTATCTTTCATCTCAATCCTCAGTACTCGCTCTTGTTGCAGACAGGTACTGGATTAGCTAGCCTCAGGGTCCGATCCAGTCGGACAACGCATAGTATCCTAAAACTTTATTCTTATGTTCCACAAAATTCGAGTATGAAGCTTTGTAAATGCCTATTTTTCTCAAACAACCCAATTAACTATGGTTAAGGGATCACCTAGTGATTGGGGCAGTGAACAAAACATGATTACGTACAACTGCTTTAAAACAAAATGGTGAGTCATTATTATACATCAACAGAATTGAGATAAGAAATCATCAATTGAGGAACGGCTAGGTGCTTTTAGTACTGCATCGTCTTTCCTTTGAAAAACCAGTTACCCACGTAGGCTTAGAACTGTCATATTTATGGGGGGGAGGGAAAGTATTGTGTTCATATGAAAAATTATTTGTGATCATGCTCGATTCTAAATGAAAAGATTAAAAAACAAACATTATTTTAACCCCCTGATCGTGTACTGTGATTTAGTGAAGTCAGAAAGGGGAAGCTGTGCAAACTCTCACCCCTCGTGCAGCTTTTCAAGAACTCCCTTTTTTGCACACTGAGGGGAGGAGGGTAAAGTTTTAATGTAAAACTGCTGCAATCATTCCTCTGTTGGCCGTTAGTCTAATAGTCTCCCTCTCCCTTCAGGTTCCAGAATAATGTAAGGAACAGTAAGTGTAGCAATTTAGGAACAGTCTGTTCTGCCTGATCCTGTCAGCATGGTGCCATGACATGAGCCCAGTGTGACAACAGCTCAGTAAATGGTTTGTATTTTGGAAAGCAGCCCCTGTCTGACTGATTAACTTTCCAGGACGCTGTAAGTATTAGCAATATTAGCCAAACATGTTACTGGATGAAATTTAAGGCCCATGGAGCGGCAGGTTGTCACACCAGTTTGATCCAAGCGTCCCTTCTGGCCTTAATCCACACAGCTGAAAGTGACCACCAGAGCCATTTTGGAATAACTCTTCTGCTATAGTTCCACATGTGGGAGTTACACAGACTAGCTTAGCTTTTCTGAAATAACTAGTCAGTTTCCTTCTGTAGACAAGCCTTGAGAGACTAATAAACCAAGGACTGTTCAGTGACCTTCCCAGCAGCTCAAAGAGAAGTCACCTGTAGAGAAATCCCACAGCTGTCTGATGATCTGAAAAGCCAGAGGAGACCTGCATGGAAAAATAGCATGAGACATCACAGATGCATTCCAGAGGACGTGACCCAGCCGTCGACAGACCAAGCTCACTTTCCAAGCATGAAACTTGGAAAGTCCACAGCCAAGACCAGCTGTGGCTTCCCCTCCGCTGCCCCAACCCAATTTCCTAAAATAACTGAGAACTAAACATCTGCAAACTCTTGTAGCTAGCACATACTTGAACTGCAAAAGCAGCTCTAGGAAAAAGCAAGCAGGCTCAACCTTCGATAGAGACGGGAAAGGAACAATGGCGAACGAAGGTGCTTGATGCTTACTAGCCTTCTGAATTTGCAAATGAACAAGCAAATTGCATGCATGGCTTATGAAGAGGCGTTTTCCTTCTGGGTGAACAGCTGTATTGTACCTGCCTTCATCAACTCCCCAGCAACCTGGTTTTAGACTTTCCGTAAAACTATTAATTAGATTTTTCAAATGCAATAATAAAGAACAACCTGTATTCTTTTCTGCATGCAGCCACCACACAACTGCCATCTAAGCTCCCCGTCCTGCTAACACTTAACTGCATATGTAACTTCTCGTGGGATTAGTGCCACTGACTTCAACAGGCCTACTTGTGCATGTAGTGACACATGTACTTAACTTGGGCTGCAATCACTTATGATCCCAAACTCTCATATCTGATGAAACAAAAGTAAGAGGCTAATCCTGCATCTAGTCAAGTCAATGTGAACAGTGGCACTGGTTTCAATGAATACAGGATCAGACCCCAAATGAAAAAAAACTGAGACAATGGGAGTATAAATATGGAAAACGCAGAAGTGATTTTTTTTCCAGATCAAAACACTTAAGCCTAATTAGGCAACCGTAAGTTTATGCTATGGCAGCTAATATTAATGCAAAAAATATTTCAACATAGTTACAGTTTTGAGCTGCAATAGTCACAACTAGTACTTCCTGTTTTCCTTTCCCCTCTTTTCTATATTCCATGTCACGTTCATTGCAGCTTGTTTGCTGGGCCTCCGCAGGGGCATATTAATTTGAAGTGTGAGATAGACGGAATAAGGAGGAAGCCCTTAAACGCATTTCATCTGGAACCCCCTGACTGCGGTCCTTGAAGGACGTGAAATAAAGGTTCACTGAATGATCACCAACAATGTCTTTCAGTCCTAAACTTTTCAAAGCGGATAGCCTGTAACTACAAATGTTTGGGGTTACTGCTCATCAGAATGCGAGGTTGTGTTCCTAGTGGATGGATCAGGAGACCTGGTTCTATTTCCAGTTCTGCCACTGGCCAGCTGGGTGACCTCAGACAAGTCACTTCCCTTCTCTGTGCCTCAGTTTCTCCACCTGTAAAACAGGAATAATGATACTAACCCTGTCTTTGTAAAATGCTTTGACATCTACCAATTAAAAGAGCTATGTATTATTGGTATTAGCTTAACCTACCAGCCACTCAATACTAAAGACACCCTGACTTTTAGAATAGATTCTTTTGCCTAACAGCTACTTTTTATCCGAAGGATCACAGCAAATGAAGAGAGGAGGGAGGAATTCTACCCGTATATTTGTAAAACCCCACACCCTGTATGGTGTCTAATATCAACATTTCTGTACATTTTAAAATATGTAAATCAAGAAATTAATGCAAATTTTAAATGCGAAATGAATGCATAACAGGTCCAATAGAAGATACTACCAGACCCGCCTTGTCTCTATAAAAAATATGGTGGGCGAGGGAATATGTTTTATTGGACCTCCTTCTGTTGATGGAAGGTGCAAACTTCTGAGCTACACAGAGTCCTGTGCTGGGACCCACACAGCTACAACCACACTGCAAACAAATATAAAAAAACCCACTTTTGAGAAGCTGTAACAGAGCGGTGTCCTTAAGGACAGTTTTGTAGGTGACACTGCCACATGTATTTAGTAGTACAGTACCAAAGCAACTATCTAGAATTTAAAGGCAAAACAAGCTAGGCCATAATTGGAGACAAAGCCACAGTTACTGCTCTGCCCATATTCATCCCCTGCCAGTGTGAACGGGCGCTCCTTTTTCAGTCCCAGAGACCTTCTCATTCAATATCGTTGCCATTCCAAACCGTATTTAACTCAGCTCTCCTCAGAGATTCTAAGTCATCTCCAACTCACACAAACCTGACGGGCTCTTTTTCATTTCATGTTTACATTTAAAAAAAGGAAGAATTACAAAGTGGTGGTTACAGAAAATGTTAGTCCTGCTAAGGACATTAGCTTCGCTTTGCGCGCGCTTAGACTTCTTGTGCCTACTATTTCCGCACCGAACCAAAGGCGAGACTAAAGTGCCTTTCCTCTGTCATGCAAATGTTAGCCGCTAATAACGACCTGTGACATAAATGAACAGCTACGTGCTATTTGAGCAAACGCTTGGACATTGCCTAGACCTTCAGGACGTTTGGGCTTAGACACAGACACCTTGTTGCAGGAATTACAGAGATGGGTCTCTTTCGTATGGGCCCCAGTACTTACACCTCAGTTATGTTCCCTCACTTAGCACAATCAGGGGTGTCAGTTTCTCAGAGGACGAGAATTTTCACAGAAACAGAGCCCAGGGCCATTTACGCGCGAGCCTTTCCCGAGAGCTGCTCCGGCGCCGTCTGGCGGGAACGAACCAACCCAGACGCAGAGCGTTAACACGAACATCAGTGTCAGGGAAAGCTTTTCAAAGGGCCTTTCAATGCCTAAAACCCATTCACCATCACTGCAAATGCCAACGGTCCCGCTGTTTGTAACTGCAATCCGCCTGCACCACATCAGCACTAACGGGGTGCGCGAGCGTAACGCTAGACAAAATGCTGGTAGGGATTTTAGGGCAGAGGACAGTCCTTCGCTAGGGCTGTGCACTAGATTAACGAACTGAGGACACTGCCTAGCTCTTTTCACCCAGAGATCTCAAAGCATTTTACAATGCAGCTCAGTATCCGTATCCCCATTTTACAGAAGGAGAAACCAAGGCCTGGGGAGGTGAAGTCTGAGAAAGGCTGTTAAACACACTCACCCACTGGCTGTTAAACACACAGACCCAAAGCAGCTGGCTGAACAGCAGAGGGTCCGCACGTAACTCCATAAAACACAAGGCAGACTTCTGCTTCTTCAAGCCTTTCCCATGACAGCAACTTTCTTAGATTGCAAGAAACAGGTGGTGACTGTTTGTACTTTGTTGACCCTTAGACGTTACCACAATCTGTGAGCTAAACAACACGACACTGTGAGAATTCCAAGATAAGGGGCACCTTTTCGGTATTTTATAAAAGCTCTGGTTTATTTTAAACAAGTAAAAATTCTCTACGGAAGACACCGGCAGGATTGGAGATCCCTCGCAGAGGAGGGACAGAGGATCCACTCCGGATTGGATAAACTATTTGCACGGTTTTTTTAAAGGAAGCTTCCTGTGCCCTCCCCGGGTGGAAAAGCACCCACTGATGGGCCTATGCGGTCTGCTGACCAGACTGTCCAGTCCAAGCCAATATGGTAGTTTCTAAAGAAACTATGTGGCAAGTGGGACTTGTGGAGTAACAAGGTGACTTTTCTCCTTGGCAGGCTCCAGTTCTTTTTTCCCCATCCAGAACAACTTCCAGCCTTCACTGCTCATCTGGTCACCCCATCCAGACTCCTGACAGACAGGGGCTCACACATACTCCCCACAGTCTGAAATGATCACTTTCTCCTTGGGTTTCCCATCTTTGCTGCCTTGAGCCTTAAGAAAAATGAAACAAGAAGTAAAGACAAATCTCCAAGTCAGACCAAAGAAACAACTGGGGAAAACATCCCATTGTCTGCTCCCCAGGCTCCTACCTCGATCTGCCGCACCACCTCCATCCCTTCCGTCACCTCTCCAAAGACGACATGCTTGCCGTCCAGCCAGTCCGTTTTATCACAAGTGATGAAGAATTGGGAGCCATTGGTGTTTGGGCCAGAGTTCGCCATTGATAACAACCCTGGGGACAAAATATTATTATTGTATTGAGGTCCAGTCATGGAGCAGGACCCGACCGTGCTCATGGCTGTACAGGATGGTCCCTGCCCCAAACAGCTGACAAATACGAGTGACCGGTGCGCCATTTATCATAGATCTGCTCTACGCTCACTGTTAAGCACATCACCACATCTGAACATTGGCTGCCTAATACAAACAGTCCTTCAGCAGCCCCGTCATCACAGGACAGCCACAGAGACCGTTTGCTAGTATGTTTTCAGGTTCATAATACAGTGCTGCCCTCTGCTTCTTTTCTTCTCCTGTCTCAGGCTTCATCAGTCCCATTCATGATAA